TGTACGGCTCCGCCCCCTCCACCTCAAGCATCGAGCGCATGCACGCCGATACCGCAAGAAGGAGATGCGCCGACGACTGAAGCGTGTCCACGGGGGTCCCGGCTTGAGCTGCCCCTACAAGATCCCCCACGTGGCGGGGGAAAGTACGCGCTAAGGGCGCTACCCCGGCGGGCGCTTCCGACACGGGTGCCAACGGCGACTCGAGCGATTCTGCCAAAGACACGCAGGATCCTCGGGATCCTGGACCGTAACTGCTCGGAAAGTTCCGCGTGGCCCCACACACCGCCAGCTGCAAGTTCGCCACCACCTCGCACGCCTCCGCCAGATTCAGAATCCGGCACATGGTCAGCATGGGGTCTCTCCCCGCGCGAGTGGGGGGAGGTGCAGTCGGTGCTTCGCGCGGAAACACCGTCGGCCAGCCAGGAGTCCGGCCAGCAGAGAAACGCGGTGCGGAGAAGCCTGGGATCTGACGAGGGGTGCGGAACTGAGCCCTCCCCTCCCGCGCGGGCAGATATTCGCGCAGCGTCGGCGCGCGCAGAGGAGCCACCTGGCCGGGGTCCGCGGCGGAGGGAGGACCGTTGGTCACCTCTATGTGGACGTGAGTCGCCCCCCCACTCGCCCGTGCCTGCCGCACCACTTCCACAAACTTATTCGTGGCGCGATCTAGGGCAGGATCCTGCTGGCGACCATTACCGCCTCGCCCTCCGCCAGTCCGCCGGCCACGTCGGCCCCCGGAACCAGCCGAGTGCGGACGCGGTGGGGACTGCTCGCAGCGACCCGAATCCCAACGACGCCCAGGCGACCCCCTCCCCCGCGTCGCCGGAGATCGCCGCGGAGAGCGTTGCGCGGGGGATCGCGCTCGGGGTGAGCGCTGGCCTGCCCGACCACGAGGGGATTGGTGGCGAGGAGAGCGATGGCCTGCGGGGGACAGCTGATCAGCAGCGACGCCACGATCTTCGCGAAGCTCTGGGGAGCGGCGGTGAGGAGATGGCTGCCGCGGCTGCTGACGTGGCGGCGAGCGCCCGTGCTCTTGACACGGCTGACCAGCAGGTCGGTTCGATGCAATCTGAGCGGGGACCCACAAGTACTCCGGCAAATGGGGCTGAGGAACATGTCGAAGAGGAAGAGACAGCCCGCGCTCCAGGCGGGGGACAGGCTCAGACGCGGAGGGGCGCGCAGCAGCATGAGGACGGGGAGCAGCAGGCCCCTGAGCTCGGGGCGGGTCAAGCCGTGCGCTCTCCGCTGTACTCTCCTGCGCGCGGTCGCGACCCGCGGTTGCGTCCATTACGCCGGAGCACGGAGCCGCGGACGCCAGCAGGCCGCCAGAGGCGGGGCCGTGGTTCTACCTCCGCGCCTCAGCCAGCACGCCGCGACGCAGCGGCAGGCACGACGCCGCGTGGAAGCCGCGTGGCTAGAGGTGGGAGACGAGGCGGACGCAGAGGAGGCGTCACAGTTCAGCGACGGGGGGCTAGTAGCTTCGCGAGAGCTGCTCACCGGATCCTGCGGGGGAGGGCTGGAGATGGAGAAGAGTCGAGTGATGAAAACTCCGTGGGTGACCCACTATTTAACCTTGAAAGAGAGGGGAGTTCTAGTCCCTCCCCCCAGGTGGACGAGTCAGAGCAGCACGAGGAGGAGTTGGATCGAAACCCAACACATAGCCGAGGCGCATCTGCAATTCGGAATGGGAGGCAGAATCGAGTCGGGGGGGGAAACCGAGCCGCACAAATTGCAGACAACACCCCCACCCGGGCCAGTCAGCATGGTGCAGAGACATCCACCAGACAACCCCTGTTCAGCGCTGGCGACCTGGCAAATCGCCAAGACCTTTTCGCCGACGTCGCAACATGGGACCTCAACCCCCTCCGCGACAGCAGGCAACCCCCGCTCGCACGCCACCCTCCCCGCACACTTCGAGAGTCTTTCGCGGCCTGCCTCCTCACCCCGTTGTTACATTTGGCACGAGACCCTGACTCACCTGCGGGCTGGAGACTGCTCATGTTCCTCCCGCGCATCCTGTTACGCACCTCGTCAGCCAAGCGCCCTGATTGGTCGAAAGTTGGAGCCAGGCTGGTCCAGTTCCGCCAGGGCCTCTGGCGTGGCCTGTATGACGAGGCAGCTGACGCAGTTTCACAGCCACCCCAGCCACGTCACGCGCCAGACACCTCAGGCATCTTGGCTAGAGCCGAGGGATTAGCCAAAAGAGGGAACCTGGCCAAATCACTCCAATCACTTACCGCCACGCCTGTCTCAACCCCATCAAGTGAAGTGCTAGCGGCGCTATCAGCTAGGCACCCCTCTGCGCGCCAAGCCATCCCAGACTGGGTGCGTGACTACAGTACAGACAGCCCTCCATCCATCTCCCCTCGCCACTTCAGGCACATCCTCGCCAAATGCCCAAACGGTGTGGGCGCCGGTCCCTCAGGCACCACTTTCGAACACCTAAGGGATGCAGCCTTAGGGAACGCAGACATATGCAGACATCTGCATGCCCTTACAAACACAGCGCTGGCGGGAAAACTAAATGATGAGGCGGCCGAGCTCCTAACAGCTTCACGACTACTAGCCTTCTCAAAACCGCAGGGGGGCACTCGGCCAATCGCGGTAGGCGAATGCCTTTTACGGCTCGTCGCCAAGGCAGCTCTATTTCTGGCGGCGGAGAAGGCGCGGGACCACTTCGCGCCGCTGCAATTCGGCGTGGCCATCGCCGGAGGCATCGAAGCAGCGGTACACACCGCGAGAACATACCTGGAAGAGAACAAAGGGGCGGTGGCGCTGCAAATTGACCTGGCGAATGCATTCAATGCGGTGGAGCGGGCGGCGGTGTTTGAGGGCCTTAAGGGGAACGCCCTGGAATCCCTGGTGCCCCTGGTGCGACTGTCGTACGGGAGTCCCTCGGCGCTTCACCTCGACTATGCGTTCCAAGCACCCCCACTACAGTCCGCGCGAGGCGTTCGCCAAGGGGATCCGCTTGGACCCCTTCTCTTCGCTGCGAGCATTCACCCGTGCCTGGCTGCCACGGCGGAGGCGCACCCGGATGTCGTCATTCTCGCATACGCGGACGACATCACCATCCTGGGAGAAGCAGCGGCGTGCACGGAGGCGTTCACTTACCTCACCAGTACCCTTCACTCCCTGGGCCTTGACCACAACCCCGAGAAGTGCGCGGCGTGGTCGGCTGCTCCCATAGAGGCCACCTCTCTGCCTCGGCACGTGCCTTACTCCGCGGGCGGAATCCGCGTCTTGGGAAGCCCTATCGGCCCACAACCTGGATGCGCAGAGATGGTACAGGAGCGCCTCTCAGCAGCCGCTGAGCCCCTTCCGCTCCTGTCTCAAATGGACCCGCAGCTGTGCCTGCTGCTCCTCACTCGGTGCGTGAGCCGCCGTGCCTCTTACCTCGTCAGAACCACGCCCTTGGATGTGCTGCCGGAGGAGTCCTGGTCGGCATGGGGGGAACAGCTGCTGCACACCTACCTGACGGCCGCTCACACTGCGGTACCACGGGAGGAGTCGGAGCGGGGGAGAGTCTGGCGGCAAGCAGCCCTGCCCGTGACGCTGGGCGGCCTCGGCATCACCAACCCAGCGACGGAAGGGGCATTCGCGTACCTGGCTTCGGTCATCTCCTCCGCCCATCTGCTGCGCTCGTTCGGCAACGCGCTGCACCCCGCTGTCGCTGATTTGCTGCTGCTGATGGATGCAGACGAGAACTCACCCTCTGCCCTACCAAGGCGCCTCGCGGCGGCTGAAGCAGCGCTGCCCCCAGACGGTTTAGAATCACTCCAGGTCGGCCGGCGCGACCCAGAGGGGCCAAAGCTGCAGCAGGCACTGTCGCTGGCCGTCCACACCGCCAGGTACATCGAGCTGCTCGATGACTCGCGGGAGATGTCGCTGAACCCGCTCTCCGGCCACACCCAGCGCCTCCAGTCCCTCCTCGGCCCCGGAGCTGGAGATTGGCTGCTCGCCCTTCCCCTGATCCCAGCCCTTCGCCTGGGCCCCTCTCAGCATTCCACCACGGCCTCCTTCCGCCTAGGCCTCCCCCTTCCTGTCCCGCGGCGCTGCGACTGCCGCTACCGCACGACCTTCCCTGACCACAGGCTCCCCAACCACCTCATGAGGTGCGAAAAAGGAGGAGGAAGGATCTCTACTCACCATGCTCTCCGCGACGAGTGTGCGAAGATTGCAGCCGAGGCGGGCTTCACGGTGCACAAGGAATCTACAGTGTACTCACCGGTCGAAAACCTGAAAGCGGATGTTTGCATCCGCCATCCCGACACCGGGGAGGTACACATGTGCGACATCACCGTGACGGACCCGGTCTCGCACCAGGATGAGTTTGCGCGAAAGGCGCCAGGGTGGGCTGCACGGATGCAAGCCGCAAGGAAGGAGTACAAATACGCGCGGCGGAATGACTGGGTGGGCTTCCACGCCATGGCGGTGGAGACGTACGGCTATCCCTCCCCTGGAGTGCACGCCTTCCTCCGCAGTTGCGCCGAGCTCGCAGGCAAGCGGCGGTTCAACGCAGCCCCGAAGTCCAGGGAGGTGGCCAAGCTCCTCACGGAGTACCGGCAGCGCTGGAGTGTGACACTACAGCGGGCCCAGGCCAACGCCTTGCGTGACAAGACCCACGAGGCGATAGCCGCGGACGAGCTTGGCCTGCAGGGCCCATTCGAGCCGCTAGGCGAGGGCTGATTGAAGACCCCACTGGCCAGTAGGGCCGTGGGGCGGGGGAGGTTGGAGGGGTGTGGGATTAGTGTGGTGTGTATTTTAGTTTAGACTAGTGTAACTCTGCCTTGTTGAGTTCTGAGATGTTGCCGAGTCTTGCCTGTCCATTGCTGCTACTAATACGAAGGACCGTTCGAGAGGGAGTGTGTGTCTCAGCATTCATCAGCCCCGCACACACCGTCTTAATGCTTCCTCCTTGGCCGCTCACCTGCAACCCTCCTGTCTCTGTCTCTCCTTATCTCTGTCCCTCCACCCCACTCCCACTCCCCACCACCCACCAGTGGCACCGCATATCCAACTCCGTCTGGTGGCAGGACTTTCCCCTCTGTCTGGTGTGTTTGCTTCTGGGTATCTGCACTTCCACTGTCTCCACTCACCTTCATCCCTCCGTCCCACCTCACCACTTTCCCTCCCCTCCAACAACCCCCCTTCCCCCCTCCCCACCACCACCCACCAGTGGCACCGCATATCCAACTCCGTCTGGTGGCAGGACTTTCCCCGCCGCCCCTCCCCTCTCTACTCCTCCCTCTTCTCCCCTCTCCCCACCAAACCCTCCCCCCATTCCGCCTCCTCCTCCTCCGCTCCACCCCCCCTCGTCTCCGATTTCGCATCAGAGCTAGCTTCTTTCATTGCACCGCTAGTGGCCCACAGCCCCTCCGAGGCCCACTGGGTGCTCTCGCTCGCCTCCTTTGACTTCTCCCGAGCCTCCGCCGTGCTTGTAGCCTCGGTGCCGGGCGTGCACCGCCGGCCTGTTTCTTTGCCGGACGTGTGCCGAGCCTCTGTGGGTGGAGCTGGGGGGAAGATCGCTGGGAAGGGGACGAGGGAGTGTGGGAAGGCGACGGGGAGGGGGAGGCGAAGAGAAGAAGCAGCCGCAGCAGCAGAAGCAGAACAAAGGGGGGCGACTCTGCTAGGCTGTGTGCACACGCAAGTGGTGGGAGTGAAGCCTCGGTTTGGGCCGAGAGGAGATCCCCACGGGACTCGCTTCAAGGGCCTCATGGCTGCTCTGTGCGGGGAGGGCAGGGCGGGGCGGGCGAGGGGGGAGAGGCGTGTGGTGCTGAGGCGTGCCCTGGGGCTTGCTGCTGATGGCAACGCTGTCGCTGTGATGCTGGTGGGGCAGCGCACAGGGGGAGGGGGAGGGGGAAGGGGAAGGGAGGGAGGTGTGGAGGTGGGAGGCGGGAAGTGGGAAGGGAAGGCAGGGTTGCCATGTGAAGGGCAGGCGAAGAGGATGAAAGGAGGGGGCGTGGAGGATGGGGTGGGAAAGGAGGTGAGAAAACGGGATCAGAGAGGAGCGCAGGAGGAGGGAGGAGAGCAGGGCGAGGGGGAGAAGGAGGGAGAGGAGAAGGAGGGAGAGGAGGGGGAGGGAGAGGAGGGGGAGGAGGAGGAGGAGCTGGTGCAGGTGGGGTATTTACCGCGCGGTGTGGCGCGGTGGGTGGCGCCTGTGATGGACGCGGGTGTGTGTGCGGTGGAGGGGCGGGTAGCAGCAGAGGACGTGCAGGCTGCTGCCTCTGGCCACATGGACTGGCTCGTGCCCATTCGCCTGGTGCTCTGGCAGGTGCGAGCGTGCGGGTTATTCGGGTCATGCGGGTCATGCTTTGTAGGTTGGTGCTTTATGTCCTTCTGCATGAGACGGTCGAGAGTGGTGAAGTGGGATTGGAGTGGGAGCGGATCTGAAGCTGCTTCCTCCCTCCGCATCACCACAGTTATGAGTCCTTCTGCCTACCACAACTTTCCTGAGGCGTCACAAAAGTCGTCACAGTTATGAGTCCTTCTACCTACCACAACTCTAACGTGTCGAGTCTATTCTTGAGGCGCCTTAGAAATCGACTCCCACAACTCAAATCGGTTGAACTCTCTCTACCTTCTTGCACCTCTCTCCTCTCCACAGACCTCCCAATGACTCTCTTCCCCCCTCCCCCTCCCCCGCTGGCTCCCCCGCTCCCTCCCCCCTTTTCCCCTCAAACCCCATTTTTTGTTGCCTCTGCCCGCCCCCCCGTTTTCCCTTCTCGCATTCCCTTGGGTATTTAACAGGGGCCCGCCTTCCCCGCTTCCCAGTACACACCTCCCTCCGCTCGCAGCAGTGGCGGCGGAACGCTGGAGAAGGCGGGGAGGGAGGGGGTAGAGAGGGGCAGAGAGGAGCTGGGCGTTTCAAGGACTCGGGAAGAGTGCAGTGGAGTGGAGTGCGGTGGGGCGGAGTCAAGTGAGCATGCGCCATGGGTGGGCGATGGCGCCCTGCAGTGTGCTGTGGTGCGGCTGCTGGGGGCGCTGGAGCGACCCCGGGGGCTGTGGAGGCTGCAGGAGGTGAGTGTGGTGCAGGGCGGTAGTGTGCGGAGTAATGCGATGACGTGGGGTGGGGTGGGATGGGTGGTGATATGGAGGGAAGTGACGAGGGGTGCAGTTAGGAGATGAGGCTGCTTGCGTTTGTGTGTGTTTGTTCTCTTCCCAGTGTTCAGTCCAGTGTATCGAAGTAGTGCCCCAAGATTGACTGTGTAATGCCGTTCCCTCCTTTCCTTCCTCCCTCTATCCTCAACTCCTCTTCTCCCCCCTTTTCCCCCTGTCCTCTCCCTCTCCTCTCCTCTACCCCCCCCTCCCTCCGTTAGGTTCTCTCGCGTGTCAAGTGGCCAAGCACCCCTCACTCGGACTTTCTATATGGTACTCACATGCCGCTTCTCTGTCATAACCATATGCTGCTTCTATATGTTGAATACAAGCAGCATATGGTCAAATCAAACACACGTTGCTGTTATATGGTAACCCAAATGCTGCTCCTTCCTGCTGGTTCACAGTATCCCTTGTTGCCATGCTGGCTCCTCACATCACCCCACTCTCTGCACCACCACCACCACCACCACCACCACCACCACCACCACCACCACCACCACCACCACCATCGTGCCTTGCCTGAAACCCCGCCGCTGCCACGCCACGCCATGTCACCCACCAACCCCAATTCTCTCCCGCAACTGACCCCCTCCTCCTCCTCCTCCTCCTCCTCCTCCTCCTCCTCCTCCTCCTCCTCCTCCTCCTCCTCCTCCTCGTCCTTTCCCCCCTCCCCGTTCCCTATCTCTTCCCTCTCCCTCCTCTCGTTCCCCTATCCCTCCTCCCCTCCTATCCCCACTCCTTGCTCCCCCCCCCTCCTCCCCCCCAGCCCCATCGTCAGTGGGCGGGTCAGTGGACGTCAAGTTGGTGGCAGCGTTTGGCCTTTGAGATGACTCCCATGCTCCCACACCCCCCCCCACCCTCTCCGCCCCCTCTCTCCTCCCCCCAGCCTCGTCGTCAGTGGGCGGGTCAGTGGATGTCAAGTTCGTGGCGGCGTTTGCAGCAGCGGCGGGCAGGAGGGTGGGCACGGGGTGGACAGAGAGCAACAGCCAGGGCGACGGGGGCGAGGGGGAAGAGAGGCAGTCGTGCAGCAGCAGCAGCCAGGAGTCGGACCCTGGGGTGAGTGAGTGAGAGTGCGTTGTGTGCTGTGCTCTGGGCATGGGGGTTTGCACCGAGAGCAACAGTGAGAACGGGGGGGGCGAGGGGGGCTAGGGGCAGTCGTGCAGCAGCAGCAGCAGCCAGGAGTCGGACCCTGGGGTGAGTGAGAGGCTTGTGTGTTCTCGGTGGGTTGAGTAGGGCAGGGGGCGAGGGGCGTTTGGAACGCCGTGAATGGGAGTGGGAATGGGTATCGGAAAGGGAATGGGAATGGAAATGGGAATGGGAATTGGTATGGGAATGGGAGTGGGAATGGAAATGGGAATGGGAATTGGTATGGGAATGGGAGTGGGAATGGAAATGGGAATGGGAATTGGTATGGGAATGGGAGTGGGAATGGAAATGGGAATGGGAATTGGTATGGGAATGGGAGTGGGAATGGAAATGGGAATGGGAATTGGTATGGGAATGGGAGTGGGAATGGGAATGTGTTGGGAATTGGTATGGTAGTGGGAACGTGGATCTAATAGAGTGGTGTGTGCGCGATGTAGCATGTTTCAGCTGTTATGCCCACCCACCCCTTCTCTCACCCTCATCTGTCCTGTCCCTTCCTGCCATCTCGTTGCCATCTCGTTGCCATCTCTTTGCCATCTCGTTGCCATCTCGTTGCCATCTCGTTGCCATCTCGTTGCCATCTCATTGCCATCTCGTTGCCATCTCGTTGCCATCTCGTTGCCATCTCGTTGCCATCTCGTTGCCATCTCGTTGCCATCTCATTGCCATCTCATTGCCATCTCATTGCCATCTCGTTGCCATCTCGTTGCCATCTCATTGCCATCTCATTGCCATCTCGTTGCCATCTCGTTGCCATCTCGTTGCCATCTCGTTGCCATCTCGTTGCCATCTCGTTGCCATCTCGTTGCCATCTCATTGCCATCTCATTGCCATCTCGTTGCCATCTCGTTGCCATCTCGTTGCCATCTCGTTGCCATCTCGTTGCCATCTCGTTGCCATCTCATTGCCATCTCATTGCCATCTCATTGCCATCTCGTTGCCATCTCGTTGCCATCTCGTTGCCATCTCGTTGCCATCTCGTTGCCATCCCGTTGCCATCTCCGTGCCTCCCATCCCTTCCCCTCCTTCCGATCCCGCTCCCCCATCTCCACCTCCCCCTTCTCTCTATTTCCCCCTTCCCCTTCCACTCCCACAACCCTCAACCTTCCTCTCCCCTCCACTTCTCTTCCTCCCCTCCCCCCCCGCTCGTCTCTTCCTCACCCCACTCCCCTTTAGCCTTCCATGCCCTCTCACCCTCTCCTCTTCACTCTCCTCCCTGCCATCCCCCAGTGGAACGGCTGGGACTATCCCAGCAGAAGGAAGCAGCATCGCCATCGCTGGGGCTGATCTATCCCACCATGGCCACTGCCCTTGCTGCAATGCCCTCTCATCCCCGCCTCTTCACCTTCCCCACTCTCTCCTGCAGTGGAACGGCTGGGACGTGCAGAGGGAGGCAGCATCGCCATCGCTGGGCCTGGTGTATCCCACCATGGCCACTGCGCTTGCTGCCCGCGAGGGCCCTCAGGGCAGCCTCGGCGTGCTCTGCTTCTCCGATGTGAGTGCTGCTGTGCTGCCTGCTCCTCCTCCTGCTGCTGCTGCCGCCGCTGATGCTGCTGCTGAGCTAGACACCTGCACACTCAACTGCCACACGTGTCTTGCCGCATCCACGCCAGCATTCATACCTTCCATCACCTGTACACTTAACTGCTTCTTCCCGCACTCCCCCCATCCGCCCCTCCCTGCCGTCCCATCTCCCTGCCACCCTCCCTATGTCCCTCTGAGCGTCTTCTGAGGCGCCTCACAACACCTTTTTCCCTGCGCGTTTTTTTCCCCGGCCGCCCTCTGTGCGTGTCCCTTTGTCTCCATTTGCGTCCCTGTGCCTCTGTGTGCGAGCAGAGGGCATCGGAGCGGTTGCTGCAAGCAGTGACGCTGCATGACTGCGTGCCGCCGCTCACAGCAGCGCACCGAGCCGGTGTACCCATGCACTGCAAGGTGTGTGCATGCAGGGGGAGGGAGGAGGAGACAGGGGACTGGGGTACAGCGCGAACGGTGCAGGGGAAGGGGTGAGGGGTACTGGGGAAGGAGTGAGGTGAGGGGTGGAGGAGAGGGTTTGCGGTGTGTGATTGCCTAGTGTTCCATTCTCTCCTACAGTATCTGCATTTTACCACCACCCTACCGTCCCAGCAACTGCAGCCTTATCTGACTGTTTCCATACTATTCATGCAGTCCTTGCCAACGTCCCTCGTGCTCGAAGAACAGTGCTACTAATCTCCCATTCTATCTCCCATTCCACTGCTCCCCGTGACCATTCAACTCTTCACGTTGCCCTGTAAACATGTTCGAGTCAACTAAAGAAGCCACAAACCCATTCTCTCCGTTTCCCTGCCCCACCCACACGCTGCCTCTCCTCCCCTCGACGCGTCCCTCCCCGTTTTTCCCTTCGCACTGTACTTCTTCCCCTCCCCTCCACATTCCAAGTCGCCATCCGTTGGTTCAACCCCAGTCCACCTCGTTCTACCCCCACCACCAGGCGGGAGTACAGCAGCTCGCACAACTTCTCACCTCCGCTCCCTTCACTTCCCCTCCCTTCCCCTCCCCTCCCCCGCCCTCCACATGCCAGGTCGCCATTCGCAGATTCAACCCCGGCCCGCCTCCCCCTCCCACCTTCCATATACAGCGGCTCGCACAGCTTCAGCCCTGCCCTGTCCTCCCCTCCCTCCCCCTCCCACCTTTCAGGTTGCCATTCGCAGATTCAACCCCGGCCCACCTCACTCCACCGCCACCTCCTCCTCCCCCACCCCGACCCCCACGACCGGGTGGGTGTACAGCGGGTCGCACAACTTCAGCCCAGCAGCGTGGGGTCGGCCAGTGCGCAAGCGGCACCTGTCATGCGACCCGGCAGCAGCGGAGGACCTGGGCATGGCGGCCGTGCTGGGGGACTGCCTGCACGTGCTCAACTTCGAGCTCGGTGTCGTGCTCGTGGATGTGCCTTCTCGCTCCGGACAGCACACGCAGGGGCAGCGGGCAGGGCAGGGGCAGGGGCAGCGGGGGCAAGGGCAGGGGTTTGTGGGGTTGAGGGAGGGGAAGCTAGGGCGGAACGGGCTGCAGGGGGGGAGGGGACGGTGGGGAGGGCAATGGGGGAGGCAACAGGGGCAATTGGGCAGGTGGAAGAATGGCAGTGCGAGTGGCATTGGTGGCTCAGCAGCAGCAGCGACAGATTTGTGGCGCGAAGAGCAGCAAGCACCGGGCGGCAGTGGCAGTGCGTGTGAGCGAGGCATGGGCATCGACAGGGTACACCTGCCGTTCCGTCTCCCTGCTCCCAGGTGTCCACTCCCCCTCGGACTCTCCTTGCTCCCACATATTTGCAGTCTTGCATTTACCAGGGAGCACTGTGTAGAGAGAGGCTCCTAGTTTGATTGCAAGCAAGGCCTCCACAACCTTCCATTTCCTCGTCAGCTCCACAAGCTTCTCACAGCCCGCCATGGCATGCATAGCGTTCACGAGTGACCGTCCCCCTGCCCTGCCTGTGTGTTCACCCACCAGGTATTCACGCTCTGACATCCCCACATCTGGCTGAGCACTCAAGGAGGCTGCTATGTTGAAAACCCTTTTGGGAATTCTCAGATGTGACCATCCCCCCTGCCCTGCCTGTGTGTGTCCCCACCAGGTACTCACGCTCTGACGTCCCGGCATCTGGGCGAGCACTCAAGGAGGCTGCTATCGCTGCAGCGCTTGCAGCCGTTGCTGCGGCTGACAGTGAGAGTGGTGGCGAGGGCGAGAGTGTCCTTGCACATGCTGCCGCAGTTGCTGCTGCTGCTGGTTGTGCTAGCAGCGGTGGCGGTAGCTGTGCTATCGGCAGCCCGGTTAGTGTCGGTGGCAGTGGTGGTGTTGCTGCAGCTGCTGCTTCAGCAGATGGTGCTGCAGCAAATGCAGCGTCCAGGAAGGTAGCACGTGCTTCCCTGCCTGGCTCTCCTCTCTCCAACACACTCTCCTCCGCCTCACTCAAATCCCTGCTGGGAGCGCTTTCCCCACTAGCAGCAGGTGCAACAGCAGGTGCAGCAGGAGCAGGAGCAGCGGCAGCACTAGGGGTGGCAGAGAGGATGTTGCAAGTGGTGGAGGAGGTGGATGAGGAGGAGGGGGGGGCGGTGGGAGTGGACGCTGATGCACTGGCACGGGATGCTCTCAGGAATGAGACACACCTGCTCCTGCACGACTATGCGTAGGCAGCATGGACTGGAGGGGCACTTGCTGCTGCTCTGAACGAGATGGTTCATGCTAAAATAAAACTGAAGAAGCAGTTGATACGGTGGAATCAGTCACAAGTGTGCGTAGGTTGTGCCAGGATGGATGTGTCAGACGAGCAGTGCAGATGAGCAGATGGGATCCACCTTGTTGCCAAGCCCCCTACCATCCTCCGGCTTTGGGAGCTGCCGCCGACCCACAGGGCAGTGCGTGCGCTGTGCATTGTGTTGGTGTCGTGCTTGGCCCTTGCAGTGGCATGGCATGTCATTTCTGGTCTGATAATGATAAGTAGTTGGGTATTACTACAACTCCTTATCGGAGCTACGTAGTCCAATCAAGGAGCCCTCCCATGACTGCAAGTGCAAAAGCAAGCCGTTTGGCTTGTCGGGAACAGCCCTGTTTGCTGTTCGTAGTCGGAAATTGTGCCGCATAATATGGGCTTGTAAGACTACTAAATGCTATCCCCCTAACAACACAATTTTTTTCTTGCTATACACCACCTTCTCGAGCTGCTTGTTGTGAGTGTCGTCAAATGAGTAAAGTTGCCATGATTTGAAGTTCGCTTGGGTTGACCATCGTCTAGGCTGTGCTGCCGAATAATTGTGGCGAACCGACACAATTCTTCCTTGAACCAAGCAAATGCCTGAATCGGCGGAAACAACGCCACTCCAAACAATTATCATTGAGCCCCTCGCCTATCCACTGCTTCGACCAACGAATTCCGTTACATGCGGTTTCGTCGCCTTCGCCAGCCCACCAGTTGGCGAAGAGAAAATTATTGTCATTCCACACAAGCCCAAACTTCGAAAGCGCTCGTCGGAATTTCACGATGCGACTCGAAGCTGCTCCTTACCTCCTGGTCTCTCCTAATCACACAACTATATTAATCTCCGGCGTCTTTACCCTATCACCATCAAAACCCACCACTGCCTCCAAGCGTCCAGAGTCTGCTCTCCAAGCCCGATTTCTTAGTTAAGTTTCAGACCGGTCTGTTACTAGCTACAGCTGAAGTTCCCGCAAGCTCTCGGCAATTCTTTCTCGCTGCTCCTTTTCTCCAATGGCGCGCGTTTCCAAGGTCGGCAGCCTACTGTGCGCGGGAATCGTCCTGCTAGCACTCGCCCTCACTCCTGCCGCTGCCATCCAAGCCAGCCGCGCCGATCTGGATCGCGAGGGCACGTGCTACCGCGGCCAATTCAGCTTCAGCGAGAGTCCCTATTTCGACAAGGGCTTGGTTGTGCAGGTGCCTGCGAGCAATTTCAACAGCGGCAAGGGCTGCGGAACGTGTTACCAAGTTACCTGCAAGAACCACGCGAGCTGCAGGAAGGGCAACGTGATGGTTCGAGCGGTCGGCCAAGGCGGATTCAACCTCAACTCTCCCGCGTGGGACAAAATCGTCCGCGACCGGGCCGCGGGCAGCGTGGAGATCGATTACCGCAGCGTGGACTGCCCTAGCAGCCGCACCATGGCGGTTCGAATCGAGAACGACAGCAACGCGTACAACTTCGTGCTTCAGATTCTCGGAGCAGCGAAGAGCGGAGGAGTGGAGAAGGTGGAAATATCCAAGGATGGCCGGGACTGGAAGTCCATGACGAACAACGGATGGGGCGCAACGTGGGTGCTGAATCCCGCCAAGGATATCGTGGATGCAGGGCGCAAGGTGAGCGTGCGCGTGACGGCGGTGGGCGGCGGGCAGCAGGTGGTGCTGCAAGACGTGATTCCGAGCAAGTGGAGCGGCGGGAAGATCTACGAGAGCAGCACCAACTTCTAGAACGAGTCGTGGCGAGATGGGGTGTACACGAGGCGCGATTGTCGTTGCCAGTTATGGGCTGCAATTAGTCGACGTGGCGCACGAGAGCGCAAATAATGCAGCTATCGTGGCACGGTGGTGTACACGGTAGTGAATGAAAGAGGCCGACCAGCCTTGATGCAGGCGAATGGGGATCCTGAGGCTCCCATGACAATGCGATTCGAAACTAGTAATAATTCCACATTCTTTTCGCAGTAATATCTCATAACAGTTAACTTTCTTACCTTAAAAGCGATAGTTTGTGATTGATGCACAAGGACCCTACACGCGCAATGCTACGGGTACCCTTTCCCTCAGTGCCTCTGAATTATCAGTGTCCTGAAAAACAATCAAGGTAACAATCAAGGGTGAAACTCATAACCCAGCCTTACCGAATAGGTACTTGCTACTGTAAACCAACATTTGTGTTCATCAGCATCATTGTACCAGATGCTAATGATGCATGCACCATGCAGCACACAAAGGCTCACGTGGTAGCAGCACACCCAGATTCAGGCAGCACTGCCCAGCAATTACCAACCACATGGGCTAAACGCTATCCTTGGAAAACACACAAAGCTAACCCTGCCTGCCTGCTTCCACTGCACCAGAAAAGATTGGTGCAATGAACAAGCTCCGCTCCTGTCCCAGCACCATCACTACACAAGGTACCGTAAATACCGGGCAATCCTGCTGCCGCAGCAGCATCAGCAGCCCATCCTGCCCTTACCATCGCTCCATGCCACCACGATCCATCTAACCACACAGCGCAAGTCATCATCCGTCAACGTCCATGCCTCCACTGCTGCCGCCTGCCGTGTCCCCTGCACCATGCTCGGCCGTGTGAGCGGTGTGCTGCACTGCCTTGCGCAGCTGCGCGGAGGAGCAGTGGTCTAGTAGGGAGAGGCCTTCCTTGTCCCTCACGTCAAGGCTGGCACCGTGCCGCACCAGGAGTAGCACCACCTGGGGCACAGGGCAAGGGTGGGAGAGGGGAGAGAGAACGAGAGAGTGAGAGCAGTGTGAGTGTGAAACGATCGTGACATCCAGCCACTACGGCACCATCGCTATCGCACACTCCATTGAGCCACACGGCACAAATCATTCATCAACGGCCATGCGCCCGCTGCCGCTGCCTTGCTGCACTCCCTCTCGCAGGCGCGCGGAGGAGCAGTGGTCTAGTAGGGTGAGGCCGTCTCAATCCTACACATCCATGCTGGCATGGCACCATGTTGCACCACCTGAATAGCAGGGCGTGGGAGGGAGGGAGGGAGGGAGGGGGAGCGGAGGGAGAGACGACGAGTTGGGTTGTGGCATATGAGGCAGAGCGCCCTTGCGTGCATAACAAGCAGCGGTGCGAGGACACGAATGGAACGACATGGCGCACAGATCTGCACTGATGTCACTGCATCCCTGCTCAGCACTGCATACGGAGCATGCAATAAAAAAGGTTCCCCTCACACTTCACCCTTTCACCCCGCACCCCTCTATCTTCACCCCGCACCCCATATCTCTCACCCCTCACCTCTCCCCCCACAACCCCAACCCCACAGTCTGCTTCACATCTGCTTTGCTATTCAACCCGCCCTTCTTTCTCCCCTCCCCTCCCCGCAACCCCCCATGCCCTTACCTGGTCGTGAGCGCACTCAGCAGCAGCCATGGCAGGCGTGCACCCAGCATTGTCAGCACCTTCCCTCCCCCATTCCTTCCCTGCTCCCCTCACCTCCACTCCCCCCTCCACTCCACCCACCTGGTCATGAGCGCACTCAGCAGCGGTCATGGCAGGCGTGCGGCCAGCATTGTCAGCGGCATCAATGGCAGCGCCCTCCTCCACCAGCACCTCGCACACCGCACTCTGATCCGCCCCCGCCGCCCTGTGCAGCGGCGTGCACCCCAGCTGTGCCGTGCCGTGCAGTAAAGGGGGGGAAGATGGGGAGGGGGTGGTGGGGGTTGCGGGGGCATGGTAAGGGTTGGCATAGTGGCAGGGTAAGCGGCTTCACTGGGGGGGAGCAGGCGTGTGCCCAGCTGCACTGGCGGCATCAATGGCAGCGCCCTCCTCCACCAGCATCTCGCACACCGCACTCTGATCCGCCCCCGCCGCCCTGTGTAGGGGTGTGCACCCCAGCTGACCCCACGCCAAGGGGGGAGAGCAGAGAGGACAGAAAGGAGAAAGGGGGGGGAAGTGGGAGGGGGGGTGCGGTGGGAGGGGAAGGGAGAGCACATGGGGGTTGTGTTGGTGTAGTGAGAAAGACGAGCGGCAGACGGTGAGGGAAGAATGGGTGAAAGGCGTGCACCGGTGCTGCTTCGATGCGATGCAGACGTAGACGGCTTGGAAGCGGGAAGAGAATGCTTAGGGAATGTTAACACATAAGAACATGTGCTGGCCATCCCTAACTCGGAAACTCTCAGCCTCTGTACATGAGAGTAAATAGTACTAGAGAAATCGCATAGCTACACGCACCCACCGACGCACCTTGTCCCGCTGATTGATCCCTTTTTTCTGCACGGCGGGCGATCTCAGCAGCGAATGGACGATCGCCACGTGTCCCTTGCTGGCAGCATAGTGCAGCGCGGCCCTGCCCCCCGTGTTGGCTGCCGTTGCATCCGCACCCGCCTTCAGCAGCACCTCCACCACGGCCGCTCGCCCACTGCTGCTCGCTGACTGCCCCACACACACACACATGCGGGACACGCAGGGGAGTGGGAAAGGTGGGGCGAGTGGGTAAGTGGGAGTGGAGAGTGGGGGAGTGAGGGAGTGGAGAGTGGGGGAGTGAGGGAGTGGAGAGTGGGGGAGTGAGGGAGTGGAGAGTGGGGGAGTGAGGGAGTGGAGAGTGGGGGAGTGAGGGAGACATGAGTGGCGCGCACAAATGAAATCAAATCAGACCAGACCAAAACCCGATGCAACTTCTCCTCAAAACAAACCCCTCTCTTCAGCCGCACCGTCTTCCTTCTTTTCACTGCTCACCCGCCTTTCCTTTCCTCCTCCCCCCTTCCCATCTCCCTTCACACTCCCCTCTCCAACCCCATCCATGACACCCACCCCTTCCACACTCCAACTCCACAACCACTCAAACCCTCCCCAAACCACCCTCCCCACCTTCCCCCCCCCCTCTCTCCGCCCTTTCCCCCCCCCCCCCTCTCTCCCCCCTTCCCCCCCCCCCTCTCTCCCCCCTCCTCCGCTTCCCCCCCGCCCACCATGAGCGGCGTCCACCCCTCCTCATCGCCCCCGTTCACGTGCTCCGCGCTCTCCCCCGCGCCATCCAATCCGCGCAGCAGCGCGCGCACGGCCTGCCACACGCGGATGGGTCGTCCCGCAGCCAGTTCCACGAGAGAGAGGGCGGGGAGAGAGAAGGGGAGGGAGGTAGAGAGAGGGCGGGGAGGGAGAGGGGGAGGGAGGTAGAAAGAGGGGGCCGGGCAGGATGGGGAAAGATGGGAAGGGCAGCGTGAGCGGCGCGATTAGCACGAAGCCAGAATGACAGAGTCAGGTCTCCCTCCGTGCACAGCGGAAGCACGAAAACGCGCGGCTGATCTCGTGAAACTAGAAATTCTCAAGGGTTGCCCGCCATGGCCTTGTCGCTACTCGTAGTAGTACCCGCTCACCCCGGCGTGCCCGGCAGCCGCCGCGACGTGGATGGCGGAGCGCCCGTCGTCGTTGCGGAGCGCTCTCGCGGCGACGAGCTGCGCGGCGGACAGCGACGCCAGGTGCGCCTCGTCGCCCGCCTCCGCCGCGCGCCACAGCGCCGCCTCCTCGTCCTCTCCCAGCTTTGCGCGATCCGCGCCCACCATGCGCGCGCGCTGGAACGGAGAGAGAGCACGGCGCTAGCAGCGAGGAGGTTCACGCGGATTGGAATTTGGGAGCGCACTACCGAATGGGGGGACTCTGGGGGAGGAATTTGCAGCTTGCACTCTCGGGTTCCTGGTGCCTGACTGCTGCCCATGATGTTGAGGGCACCTTCAGTGTGACCCGCTATAGAGCAATGAAGGCTTAAGTCTGGCTTCGGCCAAATATACCATCTGAAAATGATCCACTATGCTGTTATTTCTAGGCAAGAGCTGTAGAAATTTGAGTGCGAAGGTACCACGGAAGAAATAAACAGCTGTAAACGCAATGCTACTATATCTGTTGCGGTCTGAAATTAACATTATACGGTAAATGCATCAAGCAGCTGGTGGTATGAAGGTTGATCCCGAATTCTGGCTTCAAACTGCTAATTCCTGAATTCCTATACAAACAATGCCTACATCTCAGCTGCCTGCCAGCCAGGCAACGCAACAGCAAAATCAGCAGTGTGTTAATTTACAGCAGTGGCTGCCCCCAACAGAGTGATTCAGCTTTGTTGGCAACAAAACAAGCCAGCTCAACAGCTCTACAGCTCAACGGCTCAACAGCTCAACAGATCAACAGCTCAACCCTGTTCGTACACAAACCCTCAACTTGATTGTAGAACCTCAACCCTGGGACCTGGGGCTGAGCGCTAGCCTCAGATATTTCACTGGAGGAATCGGAGGTACCGTAACTCAGTTCAGATGAGAAGCATCTAATGAGTAACCCAGCCCAAACCAACGGTACTGCTGCTTGTGAGGCCCGCAGCTGTCTCTGCAGCTCCAGCTTGTACCTCCCCTCCACATTGCCTCAGTGAACCCCACCGCAGCATTGAGGAGAGAGAGTGAGAGCGGCTATGTGCATGCGACTGGCAGCGCAATTTGAGTCTCCAGACTGCTGCAGCCTTGTTGAGTCTCCAGGCATAGGAATCGAGAATTTGTTACGAGGCCAGCAGCTGCCTCTGCAGGTCCCGCTTGTACTCTTGCATGCCCTCGATGAACCCCACTGCAGCCTCCAGCAGAGTGGCTATCTGCGTGCGATTGCTGAACCCCGCCCGCCCCTGCTACCTCAGAAGCACCTCCGCTGGTATCGCTGCCTTGAGGGCCTCTAGTCGCTCTCTGTGACACACACATGGGTAGCGGAGCGGACGAGAAGGAAAGGGGCAAGGCACGCATGCATCAAGCTAGGTCTGAAAGCGATTAACATGGTATCGCTGACTTGAGTGTGCTCATTCGCTCTCTGTGAGACACACATGGGAATAGGATGGGACAGGGTACATCACGCGAAGGACGAGGGAGGGAAGGGAGGGAGGGAAGGGAGGGAGGGAAGGGAGCACAGGATGAATGAGGCTCAGCAGTGTGCGGGGCAGAAACACTTGGTCAAAGCATCTAAGCAAATGAGATTACACACACGTACCACTTGTCACGACCTGGTCAACCAGAGTCAACACGAGTCAACAAGAGGGAGGAAGCGAGTAAGAGTGAAGGAGAGTGAAGCACGGACGGGCCTTCAACACATGAGCCTTCAACGCACATGCACCACACCAGACCAGACCGGACCCGCACCCAACTCACGTTATTCTGGATCGCCGCTGTTTCTCTGTAGCACTCTTCCCGCTGATTTGCCTCGCCCCTGCTGCTGCAACAGCCCCAGCGAGTCCCACCCCTCCGCTCGGAGACAGGATCAACGGGGATGGGGTTGCAGAGGGCGGCCTAGGGGGTGACACTTGGGCCGCTGGAGGCCTATGCACTGCTGCTGCCTGCATTTGCAGCGACTCTGGCATGAAGCGGTGCTGTGCATGTGGCTGCGATACCGAGGTGTTTGAAGTGAAAGGTTTGTGTGCGTGTGTGTGGAAGGACCCTGGTTGCGCTGCTGGGTGCACTAGGGGATTCGGTCGCGGCGGATGCTGTGGCCGCGATAGCCCTAGAGGCGGTTCAGAACGCAGCTCTGGCGACAGGGACCGGTGCAGTGCGGTGCTGGCGGGTGCTTGTGCTCGGAATCGCCTCAGAAGGCTGCCAAAAGCTGCCTGCCTGTGCTGGTGTGCGAGGGACGAGTCTGGCATGGCAGGAGCAGCTGAAGAACCAGGAGCGCCCGCAGCAGCAGCAGCACCACCACCAGAAACAGCAGCAGTACCACCACCACCAGAAGCAGCAGCAGCACCACCACCACCAGAAGCAGCAGCAGCATGGGGAGAAGCGTACACACAGCCATAAAGTCCCACCCCTCGCTCCATGTCAAAAGGATGAGGCAGTGGCATCATAGGCACTGCAGCACCACCAGTAGCATCAGCAGTACCATCATCAAAAGCAGAGGCAGCAGCGGGAAATGGCAGAGGCTGCATGAGAGGTGCAGCAAGCGGGTCCATTGGTAGCTGTGGCAGGCACACGCCAGCACGTGTGGGGCACACGCCAGCACGTGTGGGGCACACGCCAGCACGTGTGGGACACACGCCAGCACGTGTGGGGCCCAGGGCAGAGTCCGAGTGTGTGGGGCTTACGCCTGGACGTGTGCGGCACATGCCAGCATCTCTTGGGATAGCGGTTGCAGTAGCAGACGCAGCAACAGGCGCAGCAGCAGTCGCGGCAGCAGGCGCAGCAGCAGTGCCAGCAGCGGTCCAGCAGGAAGGGTCTGAAGCAGCTGTGATTCTTGACGAGTGTGTTGCGTGGGCCGGAGCGGCCATAGCAGGAAGGGCTGCTGCTGCATCCCACGGTGCATCGAGCTTGGCAATACAATCCGCTCTTCTTTCGTTGGAAACGAGGCTCCTGCTGCTGCTAGAGAAGACACCAGCAGCAGCAACAGCAGCAGCGCGTGATTCAATGGCTGCAGCAGGAGCAGCAGCAGCAGCAGCAGCAGCAGCAGCAGCAGCAGTGATTGCAGCAAGAGGGAGGCCAGTATTTACAGCAGCAGCAGGGTTACCGCATAACCGTTTCTTCGCCTGAAGAGCGTCCATTTGAGATAGGTCATTGATCTGAGAAGTTAGAAGCCTTCGCTTCGTGCCAAAAGTTGGTACGAAGGTAGGGAAGGGGTTGCGGACGGGGGGGACGGACGGCGAGGGGAAGGAGCAACAAGCAGGCGGAGGAGGATAGGTGCTCAGCTGCGAAGGCGGCTGAGTTGGCAGCTGCTGATTGGGCGGCAGCGGCTGAGTCAGCAGCGGCGCAGGAAGCAGCAGATGGGGAAGCCGAGACTCTTTCCGAATCTGGGTCAGCAGAGGGTTGGGAGGGGACACTACTCGATCCCCAAGAACCCCTCTCCCATCATCCTGCGGAGGCCCTGCTGCTGCTGAGGGTGCTGCTGCTGCAACCGGACTCTCCCTCTCAATTTCCGCAGGCGCCAACCCTGCGTGCTCCGGACTGAATTCCGGGTCGGGCTCCCACAGCCTTTGCTTCTCGGGGGTGAAAGCCGGCAGCTGGGTGAAAGCGGAGTCACCCAGCAGCACTACACCGGGCTGCTGCTGGGCACGCTGCAGCGCTGCTTGGATGAGGCGCAGCTCGTCCCTGCTCATGCTCATGCCGCTCCAATCATGATCATCCGCCGGTAACGACACGGCGTCTAAGCACGGTTCTTTCGTTGAAGTCGTGGCCGCGTGGAAGCATGGTGGCTCCGAGTCCCCCGTTAGAGGCGCGTCCGGACAATCCATGCGGAGGGAGGGGAGGGGTCACACGACCAAGTCAAGTTAAAACCGAGTCGTCTCTGCTGTCTTAGTTAGTGGCAGACGCGAAAAGAGAGCACGGAGAGCACAAGAGCACTTCCGGACGCAGTCTGATGTATTCCGAAGCCTTGAAACGAGCAAAGAAGCCGCACCGTAAGGAAGTGTCACAATGGCACTTGCTGGAATATTACCGACGAAATCCGTTTCAGAACTTCACGCACCATCAGCATGTTTAGTACTACTAGTATTAGTACCATGTGGATTGGTATGAATGTGGAGAAAGTGGAAACGTTACTGCGGCTCTTGCACTCACTCGTAGTGCTACCAGCTGCATGATCCTCATGCTGACTCGCGACGGCCCGGGGGGTGCATCACTCTTAGGAACAGTAGTGGCGGCGGGACCAGAAGGGCCGCAGGGTGCGAAACAGATCCAATTGGTGCGCCCGCCCTTCCCCACAGAGCACAACCAATCGCTGCTGTTGGACATGACCGTGTGAACTGACTGAGAGCACCCTTTCTTTCAAAGTTGTGTGCACTCGAAACCTTTGGACTGGAGAGAACAGAGATGTGCACCCTTCCTTTAAGAGGAGAGGAGGAGCAGCACTCTCGCGACGCAGCGTGGGACCGACTGGCCTTGCGAACGAGCAAGTGTTGCGTGGGACCGCCGCCGTGTGTGATCCAACCAATCGCCCGAGATCGTTGCTGTCTTTGTCTTTGCGGAAAACTGGGACTGCTAGACGTCAACTCTGCGAGCCAGCTGAAAACCGTCACGAATTCATCAAAAGCTGTCTAAGATGATTCTCAGAATCTGGTTGCGCGGCTAGCAGGCGGCAAAATCGGGCATCATTCACGCCACGGCGCATGCAAAGTGATGCCGTGATGCCGCCATAGTAGTACGCGTAGAAAATAGAATCGCGATGATGACGATGACGATGATGATGTGATACGTCGCAAAGCCCTGCTGGCGTTGGCTCCTCCAGCCCAGCATGCTGACCTAATCCACGACTGCCAGCCTACCACCGTTGAGTACGAAATGGGAAGATCGCGTCCGGTTTTGAGACAAAAGCAGAGACGGGGGAGAAACAAAAAAAACGCCACCACACAGTGTTCGTAGGAGAAAAAACGCCCGTCCCGTCCCGGCGATCGGAGACAGACTGAGACGGAGAAAAGAAAAAAGCATGTGCGTAGTACCGCATGTGGGCTAGTGACCGTTGCTAACCTCCCAGTGGGTAACGAGGCGTTACAGTATATAGTACTTACGCACCCTCAGGGAAATCATACTGAAGAACATGATTTTCTTACTGTACGTTCCTACTCTACGTTCCTACTGTGCGTGTACTGTAATCTGACGGACGACATTCCCGACTCGACACCCACCCGCCGACGTTTTTCGACGGTCACAACCGCCGCGGCGACACTCACTAGAAGTAAGTACGCCCCACTTGCGCGGCGTGACGCGCACTCTTCTCACTTCACTGCAACGAGAAGGACTCTTTGCATGCCGCGCGTAACGAGTGACGTGAGCGTATCAGATCCGAGAAAGATCCGGAGGCTGGTGGCCCGTAACAGCTCAGCCTCCTTGAGAGAGCTTAGGACGTGTACAAGGAAGGAGACGTATTTCGCGAGAACTGTAACCTGAACGATCAAGGTAAGTGAGCTGTCCTTGCCAGAATCGCACGCACGACGACTCAAACTAGCCGGCTGGTATGATTACAGAAGAAATCGGTCGGCATTCCTTGTTCAAAGGTGCCGCCTTACGAAAGCCGTGTTGGCCAGCTCTAGTACACTAGTAGGCAAGGACAGCGTTGGGATTACTCGTCCCCGTCCGGCAAATCTCCTTCCAGCTAGGACTGGCTAACGTCACTTAGCCCTAATCGAAAGCTTCTGGAAACAAAAATCGCAGATAATCCCCATTGCCTGTGCGTGGTGAACAGGCCTGTCGATTGACGGGCATATGCCCTTAATGCCCTGAACATTAAGGGCTAGTTTCGCTCCAGCTCCAATGCGTCAAGTTTTTGTTTCGCACCCCACCCGTGCCACTAAGTGCTTCATTCGACCCTTGCCCGGATGCGTTAAGGGACGAAACCAGGCCTTCCCCTTTATCTAAGTTTTGGTTTCAGATCGTAGGACCCCCCCCCCCCCCCCCCTCCCCCCCCTCTTTCTCCTTAGCCTGCACTAGAGCGCGCCAAGGGGATTTTTCCCTTAGCGTTTTGTAGCCAATCCCGTGTGTGTAGCGTGTCTCTCAGTCAGCCTAGGAGCACCCGCACATTCCCTTAGCGTCCAATACGAGCTGGCCGCAGTGTACAGCTGTGACACATGGGATTATCTTGGGTAAATCTGGCTAAGTTGTTTGGCCACAGAGACATCTAAGACACTAAACCACAGCACGTCAAAGGAACTGAAGCACTCCAGCGCAGCAGCTCCCTCCCTCACCACCTTCGTTCGTGCGAGCCACGATTCCTCTCCACCACCATGCAATCCATCCACCACCACATCCCACCCATGTTTTCTCTTCCGCACCGTCCCACCACCTCCACGGTATCATCCACCCAAGCCCTCAGCTCTCCCCTCCCCTCTCGTACGTGCCATGCTATGGCACTTCTCCTCCACCCAACCACTCTGCCGAGTAAACCTCGCGTCGCCTAGCTCACGCACGCGATGTTTATAGTATGGGTAGCTAACCCGTTCGCTTCATCAGCCACATTCTCCCACAATGGATCCTAGCGAGGGTGAAACCCCTCCTCCAGTTTTGCCCATGTCGAACGTTAGTCATTCTCATACTACGACCGAGACCGAGCCTTACGTACCCTCGGATGCTGAAGACATGCTAGACGTAGCAATCTCAGTGTTGGACCCGCGCCTCGCCCAGCAAGCATCATCGTCACAGACTACACCTCTGTCAGCAGCCCGCTACCGTCAGGTTCACCTTAGCTTCGCAAGTCCGCCACCAGATTCGCGAAAGCGCGCACGAAGCGTACCGCCTCCACCCACTGCTGAGGAGCTGGAGGCGCAGGACAAGGCTATCGCCGAGGATGCAGAAGTGCCCCCGGACACCGAGATCCCTGCTGCTGAGAAGGGTATGGCACGTCGCTTCAGCCCGTCGTGGAAGCAGATGTACTCGTGGCTGACACTGAAGTACAACAAAGAGGAGCGCCTGTATGGTATGAAGTGTTCCGTGTGCTGTAAGTTCGCTCCTAACACCAAGTCTCCCTTTGGCGGTGCTGGCGTCGGTGCAAGGGACTTTCAGAAGTCGGCGTGCCGCAACCATGACCAGTCCAAGGTGCACCTCGCGGCCATGGAAGCAGAACGACTCGCTGCTGGCACGGAGGTGAGGCAGCGCAGCCTCGTGAACATGCTCAGCGGCGATCCAGTCATGGCGAGGGTCGTCAAATGCATGCAAGCAGCTCAGTGGATTGCGCAGAAAGATGCACCGATCGCTCTCTACCCCATGCTGGTGCGGTTCATGGCGGAGCAAGGATGCCCCGACATGATGAACAGCGAATCCTACGGGCGTTATTACTCGCGGTAAGTGTTTGTTACCCTCTGGTTCTGCACCTAATGTCCTGCTGTTTCTTCTCTTCGTTGCCTCTGTATTTTCGTACTTGTGCTTGTGTTATACTGTGAGTAACGTACATTTGGTGCTCATTGCAGATACGCCTTCGGCGAGTTCGTAGAGGCTATGGCGGAGCATCTGGTGGCCAGGCAGCTCGTGGACGTCAAAGAGTCGGCCTGGTATGTTGGAATCACTGAACAGGAATGAATGAACTAGCAATGAAAAGAGTACAAGTACCTAACCCTAGAATTGTGTACCCCCTATAGGCTAACCCACTGTAGCCTAAACTAACACAACATATATAATGTTTGACACACCCCCATAGGCAAAGTGGGAGAGAACTAGGGGTCACAAGACCAGTCAAGGCAAAGCAAGGCAAAACAAGCTCAGGGTGGATCTCAAGGATACCACACAAATTCCGAGCACAAGCAAGTGGTCACAAGACCAGTTCACATGCAGGTTTATATATAGAGATCACAGTACAACAGACTCAAGAAGTAAGCAAGTGAGGTCCAGTAGGCACAAGGCCTAGAAGAGTGCAAAAGCGCTGATGGTCACAAGGCTGAAGCGCCTTGGTGAACACATCAGCAGTGTTGGCCTCAGAGGCCACGTAACGCAGGCGAAGCTGACCACGCTGCTGCAGCTCTCGAGCGAGGAAGTAACGCAGAGCAATGTGCTTCGTTCTGTGCTCCAGTCTGTGCTCCTCACACAAGGCAATGGCTGCCTTGTTGTCGACGTACAGCACTGGAGGAGAACGAGGCTGCTCTCCAAGGTCGGTCAGCAAGTAGGTGAGCCAGCGTAGCTCCTGGGCCGCCATGGCTGTGGCGTAGATCTCAGCCTCACAACTGGAGCTGAGAACAGAAGAAGAGCGAGTAGAACGCCAAGAAACAGAACCAGAGCCAAGACTGAAGGAGTAACCCTGAGACGACCGCTGAGTAGCCTGGTCGTCTGCCCAAGAAGCGTCTGAGTGCCCAGTGAGAACAACTGGGACTCGCCCTCCAAGCACTAGCCCCATGCCCGACGTACTGCACAAGTAGCGCAACACCCTCTTAGCTGCATCCATGTGCTCCTTCCGGTGACGGCCGGGAGCGACATAGCGTGCAAGAATGCTGAGAGGGTATGCAAGGTCTGGTCGAGTGCAGGTCATCAGGTACATGAGGCAACCCACAAGCTCTGGATACGGGCCACTCGGCTCTACGGACTCATCCGAAGGCAGAGCTGAGAGCGAGTGACCGGTAGGCAGAGGAGTGGGCTGAGGCGAGGAGTACGTGAAGCGGAAGCGCTGAAGGACCTGCTGCACCATGTGTGACTGAGTCAAGGTGATGGTGCGGCGTGCTCTGTCCCGGGTGATCCGCAAGCCAAGATAGCTTGTCAGTTCACCCAGGTCTGTGCACGTGTGTCTCTTCTGCAGTTCCGACTTCACGTGGGCGAGTGC